AAGAGTTGAGTCGAGTTAATGAGTTAAGAGTTGAGTTAATGAATTTAATTTAGATTATTAGAATTGCTATCAATGTGTTTTTTCACCAAATTAATTACATTCTTCATATTTGTTAAAATTATCTTTTGCTGTGCATTAATTTCTAGATTTATCTAATCACTTCATAAAATAACGATTTGTTTAATTTCAGCTGTTTTGGTTTGAATACAGACAAAAGTAGATTAATTTACCCAACAGTTCCAAGAAAAACCTTAAATTATCGCTTAAGACAACCTAACAAAATGAATATAGTGTTGCCATTAGATATAGAAATACCCGAGTTTATGGTGCCATTATAATTAAATATATAATTGTTTTTATTGAATTTTCAATTTACATTTCACTACCACTTCAGAAAATCAATTTTGAAAAAAACGAAAGTTGGCAAATTTGAGAATGTCTTGTTGTCTCGAATTAAATTTCAAAAAATAAAATAACTGAGTTACAAATCTGAATTAATCTGTAAAAGTCCTTAGAAACGATTTGATTACTAAAGCAGGGATGCCAACTGCTCCGCTTTTTACAGAAGTTTTATAAATTGGTAGCAAATTAAATAGTGAAACTTGTAGAATAAGTATCAGGGGTGAGAGCGAGACGGAAAACAGTAAAAGCTGGTAGCAAACCCATTTCAGTCACAGCCAGTTCCAGGAGGAGTAAATCTACTCCTTTTTTTTTTCTCTAATCGTAAATCTACTCCGGCAACAGTGAGCCGTAATGGCTCAGAGGACTGACCTTTCGCTTCCAATGAGGTGAACGGGGTTCGAATCCCAGAGATGGCTGATTGATACGAATTCCGCATCCAGCTTGTACCGGCCACGGTGCTGTCGTGAAATATCCTCAGTGATAGACGGATCATGAATTAAAGTCCTCTTGCTGTTAGGCTAACCGTGGTAGGTTTTCCTCGTTATGTAACGCAAATGCGGGTTTGTTTCATCCACGAGTTCATCAAAAAGTCCTTCACGAAGGAAAATTTCTCCCAGTACTTGATCCAGGAGCTCCCTTGTCTTTTTTATTGGGTTTAAAATTACAAGGATACGGAGTTGAACCAGGGTTTAAGCTGAGTCTAAAAATTCATTAGCAAAAAAAGCTAAAATCTGAAAAAAAGTTTTAGCAAAATGCTAAAATGCCATTAGGCTTATAAAATTACTTTATATCAAACAAGTACTGTAAGTTATCNCACAAATTGGGTCGTTTGTTCAACGATAGTTATATAACTACTTAGCAGTAGAAAAATTACTGTTTTATGTATATGATATATTTGTATAAAAAAAACTTGATAGCTACAAAAATTTTTTTTTGTAAGAAATGTTAGTATGAAATATCTTCTGTACCAGTTTTAGCACTTTGACGTCTGGACATAACTACGCCTATTTTTTTTTAATATGTCACTGCAGGGCAGAAAGCCCATATATATCAAGACAGAAAAGAGTAAAAACTGGTAACAAATAAATTTCTATTTTTAGCTTTTTTTCGGAAATAATAAAAATACCGAACCACCAACTGTTTTTAAGGGATACAATTATCATATTGAATTGCTTCTTCGACGACAAATACTTAATTACAGTGAATTGTTTATTGTTGAGAATAAATTAACTCCTCCCGAATATTCTGTAATATTGAAATAGTTCTATTACCAATATTTTTTCTTTTCCGTCTCGCTTTCAGGCCTGTGTCACCACTGAATAATTATAAAAAAATAGTTTTTAAAATGTTATTTTGAATTTTTAACACAAATTAATTAAAATGAAAATTATGAACCGAAAAAAAATTAACCTTCATTAAGTTACTGATAGAAAATATTTTTTTAACAAAGCGGAGAAAGTAAACATTTTAACACGTTCACGCCGGGAAAAGTGAAAATACTGGTACTGGAAAAGAGAAAATACTGGTAGAAGAACTATTTCAATATTAGATAATATTCGGGAGGAGTATCTATTTTCAACAATAACAATTCACTGTAAGGAAATTTATCACGGCGAAGAAGCAATTCAATATAAAAATTGCACCCGTAAAAAACAATTGGTAGTTATGGATTTTTATTATTCCCGGAAAAAAACTAAAAAATGAAATTTATTGTTACCAGTTTTTACTCCGGTGCGCTGCCAAGATGAGCCAATCCAGCGTGACCCACCGGTGGGTCACCCCGGCGTAAGCGTGTTAAGACAAAGATTTTTTTAGAAACGGCTTGAATGAAACTTATTAGATTTAATTAATGTAAAACTAGTAATATGCAAAACTCGTGATTAATAAGGAAACGTTTAATAAACTGTACGTTAAAAATAAAAACTATCTATCCATAATTATCCTAAAAATATGATCCAACTTATACAGCAATATCAGTAACTCGGGTGAGGCATTCTTTCGTTCAGAAACTTTTATTCCTTGTTTCACATAATGGTTTTTTTCTGTTCTTTTATAAGAGCAAACTAAACATTTACTTTGCCATCAGTTTTTTCTTGCTCCCCTTGAACTTTATCCCGTCTTCAAAACTTTTGTCTTTATTTTGATTTTAGAAAGCCTGCATTTGGTGCGGCCGTTTTATATTCCCAGACAATCTTAGAAAGACAAATTAAGCGAACAATTTATAAGTTTTTTGAAAAATAGTTTTATTATGAAGATGACAAAAAGCAAACATCCCATCTATTGTTTATCTTAATTTCCTTTATATCTTTTCGTGTAGAAATTAGTTTGCATATGTTGCTACAGTCTTGCTGTTTTATTGTGTTTTTTGTATAGAGTATAGTAATATGTAATGAAAACTTCTTACAAAATTTTTTATCCGTGAAATATAACAAATTTTTTAATAAGTTTAACTGGATTTACTTTTACTGGCAAAACACATTTTGAAGATACCTTTTTATGATTGGTCATTAGTAAAGTTTTACGTTTTGAAGGAAACTATTTGACTTTACATCACTAATGATTAGTTTAGGAAGTAAATAAAATCAATTGATCCGAAAAATTTATTGCTATCAAAAAAACTGGTTTACGATTAACCCAAAATATGGCTCAAATTTTTTGCCATCTTAATTAGGTGTTAAATTAAACCCTATTTCTATTTAAATTTAAGCGAAGTATTATATAAAAAAGTTTATAAATTGCTATAATATTGTTCAATGTATCGCAATAATAAAGTTACAGTAAATTTGAACGCTGCTGTGCACATACAATTTGATCATACTCAAAATTTCAAACAGTATGGAGGTTTATTTCCTTACTAAGAACATTAATATGTAGAATAAGGCAATATAAAAAATATTAAATATAAAGAAATATTTAATTGAAAATTTAAATATAAATAAAAGAAGAAGACATTTTAAAAATATGGTAATAAACTTCTTTTAAAAATTAAATTTAATAATTTTTTTTNAAATTTCAAACAGTATGGAGGTTTATTTCCTTACTAAGAACATTAATATGTAGAATAAGGCAATACAAAAAATAATAAATATAAAGAAATATTTAATTGAAAATTATAAATTTAAATATAAATAAAAAAAGAAGACATTTTAAAAATATGGTAATAAACTTCTTTTAAAAACTAAATTTAATATTTTTTTTTTTTTTTTTGCTTTTTTATCTTGACAAAACTTACTTGTTCTTACAAAATTTTTATTAAATACATAATTTGTACTACGCTTTTTCTCAAGTAGCAACATTTTAATTGTATTGATTACATTTTAAATTATCACCGAATTCTTGCTCAATCCTTATACATGTTCTTCAATTTATTAACTTAATTAAGTAAATTTAATTATTACATAAGTATATAATTAATTAAAGTATATAATTTAATTATTACAAGGTTATATTTTAATTTAGTAATTATAACTTAATTACTAAATTAACTTAATTTACTAAGTAAACGTAATTGACTTAGTTAACTTAAAGACTAAGTTAACTTAATTATCTAAGTTAACTTAACTGAACTTAGTAATTTTAATTATTTAATTTTACTCTTTTAATTTATCCGTTTAAGCAAGTTAACTTTATTACTAAGTTAACCTAATTTTCTAAGTCAGCTTACTTTTAGTTTGTGGAATTTTTTCTTACATAACTTGCATCAAAGACATAGTTTGTACCAACACTTACGTAAAAAGTTTCTTTTTTCAATAGTAGCAACAATTTCATTTGCATTGACAATATCTAAATTTATCATCGAATTCATATTCAAACCTCTCATACATGTGTTTTAATTTATTTATATTTCACTCTGAGCAAAATAATTGTAAACTATCCCTAATAAATTAATCGCCGGGGTGACCCACCGGTGGGTCACGCTAGATTGTCTCATTGGGCGGCGCACCGGAGTAAAAACTGGTAACAAATAAATTTTATTTTTTAGTTTTTTTCCGGGAATAATAAAAATCCATAACTACCAATTGTTTTTAACGGATGCAATTTTTATATTGAATTGCTTCTTCGCCGTGAAAAATTTCCTTACAGTGAATTGTTATTGTTGAGAATAGATTAACTCCTCCCGAATATTATCTAACATTGAAATAGTTCTTCTACCAGTATTTTCTCTTTTCCGTCCCGCTTTCAGGCGCAACACCCGGCGTGAACGTGTGAAAAAATCCAATATTGGTACATAAATTCTGATTCAATTTAGGAAAAATAGCAAAAAGAGAAAAGTTAGGCACATATACAGTTACAAATGGAATAATGTAAGTGAATCTGTCTCAGAAAAAAGGTTATATTTTAACCTGAATTGATATTAACAGTATAGCATAATTTGGAATATTTAATTAGAGTTTTTTTTTCTATTTACATAGCATATGTAATTAAATTTCCCTCGTTTTTTTCCCTTAATGATGCTGCAGTGTCTGTTTTTATCGATTTTTCCTGGGAATTAATTTTGTAGCGAAATGTTTTTATGCCAACCAAGTTTATTAAATTTTTTTGTCAATCCGTTTAAAAAAAAGCTGTAACTTTGTTGTGAATATTCAAATAAATTTGAGCAAATGTACAATTTAATTTATTAAATACTTTATACACTACTGGTCACTTCTTCAATCACTGTCATTTGTCTTCTAGCTACAGGTGGGGCAATAGTGTCCACAAATTCATCCTCTAAATGTCCACACATATACCGATTCACAGGTTTCCTGTCTTCCAATATAACACCAGCATTGTTCATTGGTGTCTCCATATCTGTATCGTAACATATCACAATATTTTCGTCAATATTATCGACATCGACATTCTCCTCGGCGACTTCCTCGGCCCAATTGTCCGGTATTGTGTTGTGTTGTGATGCCAAGATGTCATTTTGGGATTCGAATCTCTTTCCTGTGTAGGGATATCGGCGTGGGCTTTCCTCATCGGCGACATCAACAGTGTCACTAAAAGATATCGTTTTCTGGCACTTTGGGTGGTGACTTCCGGATGACCCCGGGCGGCTGCAACACAAATACATATTCAGTTATTTTCAATAATAAATTTATTTTTTATTTAATAAAAATGTATTGCCTGTAACTACCCAAGTCAAAATTTTTGATGGTTTTACATTGATGGACCAACATAATCTTGATGGTAACCATCCAAAATTCCATCATGATGGTAAACAACTTATACTGTATTTTTTTTTTTGCTTATTGTTCATGGTATTACAAATTTATATAATATTTTCTCTAACAGGGAAGCCACAGGTGACTATAAATGTAAAAAGTGATAGATACTCAATTCACTTTTATTCATTTATTAGCTTTTAATTTAGTTAAGCGTAACTATCACTATGACTTACATTTTAAATTATTCATATTTTAAATAAAAGCATTCTTTTCATTCACTTTCAATACTAAACAAAAAAATATATGCAATAAAAATTGCTAATTTAAATTTCTTTTAATAAAATTTAGAATTTTGTTAGTCACCACTTTTGCATTTTTAGTCGCCTGTGACAATGCTGCCATAAAGTTTCATAATTTTACGATTCATCAGAAAAAGGTTGTCCCCTATCGTAAATATAATAAATTGATTACTAGAAGGCTACATATCAAATAAAATGTAAATGAATAGTTCACATTTCTTGTGTGAAATAAGATACATTTGCACACTAACACATAAACATTTTTGCCTCAAAATTTATTTAACACGTTGAGCGCCGCGTCAGCTATCGGTGGCTGACACTGGATTTTCCATTTAGACCGCGTCAACCACTGGTGGCTGACACTGAAATTACATTTAGGCCGCGTTAACCACCGGTGGCAGACACTGAAATTACATTTAGGCTGCGTCAACCACGGGTGGCTGACACTGAAATTACATTTACATGCCAACTCTTCCGGATTTTCCCGAAGATTTTATTTTCATATTTAAAGTGGTAGCAATACTCAGGTTATTCCAATTAACTTTTTGAATTATAAATGAGTTTGACCACCACTACATATAAATAATTTCAATAAACATATAAAAGCATAATAATCTTTGCGCAAACTCCTTTACCTTTTCAAAGAATATTATTATTTTTTAAATTTTATTTAATTTCGAGAATCTCTGTAAAAGTTGTTCTTTTCTCGGAATATCTCCATTATTTAATTGTGCAGGTAAAATAGCGAGTCTTTTAGTATTCTTTTAGAAATTTTACAACTAGTTTATATATATATATATATATTTCAGTTTTCCCGTCACATTGGACAACTTACTCAACCACTATCAAAGCTCAAAGGAGCACTGTGTCATTTTTTTCTTCAAAATATTCCGTATTTCTTTATTTCTTTGTGAAAAAGCGTTATTTTTATATTCAAAAACGTATCAGATTTAAAAAATTTATAATTTATACGATTTCAAATAAATTTTACCACTATTTCATCTAAAACATTTGATTGGAAAAATTCGAAAAGAAATATAATTAAAAAAAATTTGATTAGAAATATAACAAAAAAAAAGTCGAATAGAAATATAACAGGAATAGAAATACAGATATTTCAAATGCTCCGGATTCGAGAAAGTATTTTAAACCAAGGTATAGAACTGCAAACTAAAATTTGCTGATTTTTGGTTAACCAGTTAACGCCCAGCGTCATATATTTAGGACAGTTCCTTTTTTCAAAGACATTAATTGTGGTGGGAAACTTTTTTCAGCATTCTCATTAATCTGGGTGAATTAAAAGATTCTCAGATACCACAATGATTTAGTTATTTCTATAAGGAGCAAGTACTTTTTGATCTATCAAAGACTTTTTGAATGCCCTAACAGTAAAACAATGAATTAATTTCGATAATATATTCTACCACTTTTTCCATAAAACCACTTTTTGTATCGTTTCAATATATAAATTCAGGACAAAACAGGTTAATTTTGCCAATTTTTCAAAAGATTCAACATCGCTTAATTGCATTCGAACATAGTTCAAATCTCAGTGCACTACCGCGAAGCAGCAGTAACTGATTCGTCAAATTTTTGAGGTATATAATTCGAGATATTCGTCAAATTTTTGAGATATTGGGGGAAGAAGGGGTGCTAAGCACCAAATACTAAAGTTGTGAGTGGGAAACCAATCGGTTGAGCGTGTAATGAAATGAATAGGAAATTAAACATAAATGAGATTTAAATTAAGTATATATAGGAGTCAGAACATTATTCAGATAAGCGTAGGTGTAAAAAAATAGAAAATATATACAAGTATTTACATAACACTTGAAATATCTACTTTTCTTTACTTGAAAGTAAAAAACTAACCTAAATATTTAAATATTGCTATTTTCATTTAACAATTTTATTCACCAGCACACTTTTAATGCCAGGAACGATTGCAATTAATATTAATTGGTTTTTTATCATCAAAAACTAACAGAAAATTTAATTCTTTGATAAGTTATTTAGCAACTTTAAACTGGTAGATATTTTTACTTTTGACCAGAGAACTATGATTTTACCCAAGGTTGTTTGAGGAATTCTCACAAGAAAATGAAACTGAAGTCCATATTTTAAGACTTATGTAATTATCACTAAATATTTTTTCTCAATGATTACATGCACGCAAATCCTATTATACAAAATCCCTAAATAATGAAAAAGTAGCCTAAAGTATAAGCATGAGATTCTTGCAATTCTACGTATATAAATTTGCAACTATATTTATTTTACAAGAGACCCGCGGGTATTTTGGGTAATAAACCCTGAACTATGACAAAAACTGGTAGTAAAGCTATTTTATCCTTGTTCATTTTCAAAATTCCTTAACACATTGAGCACCGAGTCAGCCATCGGTGGCTGACACTGAACTTTTCATTTAGGCTGCTTCAATTACCCGGTGGCTGACAGTGAAATTAGATTTAGGCTGCGTCTGCCACCGCTTACTGACACTGACCTTTCACATAGGCCGCGAAAAACAGCTGGCTGACAGTGTATAACATGATATAGAACTATAAAATTTACTCTCTTTTATGGAATTGCAGAAAATTTATTAAAAATTTACTTAATTATTGTGATTATTTTTTTAATAAATTCAATTTAGTAGATTTTTATCCATCTCTATTTTTGAACAATTCGTAGTCCTATATAATTCACCACTTTTTTTTTGTTAATGTCATGCTAAACCTTCAAAAATTAGTAAAATCTGTCTAATATTTGCAATTTTAGTTTGTAGTTAATTACAGTTTGGTCAGACGGGCAAGCCATGTAATATTAGCTTGGCATTCGACGCGTTAACTTAGTAATGATGCATCTTCCATAGCTCTTTTTCTAAAACAAATGTAAATACTTTATGACTGAAATCTTTGTATTCGTATTTTCGTAAATTTATAACAAAGGGTTTAGTTAGGCTTTGATGGATTTCGATAGTGGTAGTAAGTTTAAGTTAGTGTTAGTAGAAATTTCGTTTTTCTAATTATCATTTTATTACTTAGTTAATTATATGGAACAATTCTTGTGCAAACATATTTTCTTTAAGAAATAATATTGAGAGAGAATGCTCATATATTAAAAAATCGACGTTTTTTTCTTCATATCGTTTTAAAACATTCAAGGCTCGTGGGAGGATTTACATTTTGTCATTTACATAAAATGTTTGTGGAAGTTTTCGTTACTTTTAATTATAAACTATCATCTGTTTTTCAAATGAAGAAACAGTCTTGCATACATTAGGGCTGCCAACTACTAAGTTTTAGCAAAATATTTTACAGAGAAGAAGACAACAAGAAACTACAGCTTTCAGTATTTTGATTAACATTTAAAAACCTCACCTAGAATGAACTGGAAAAATGTGGGTTTTTTTACGAACTTTTATATCCATCACATAAAATTGTGCAAAAAAATTTAAATCAGATCTTAATAAACAAAGGATCGTACATTGAAAAAGAAATTGCTAATACTCGAAAACCTTTTCAATAAATTGAAATGAAATTTGAATAAAGGATAACAGAGTCAAATGAATTGAAATGAATAAATGAAATTTGACAGCTGTGATATATGAGTTTTTAAATAATCAGAATTATTCAAAGGCCAAATTTTTTAATGAAATATTTATAACCATAGATACTTCATAAACCGAAAACATGTAACTACAAGTTTCTCATTAGCTCGCAGCGCTGTTTGTGTTCAACAAAGCTTAGAGAGTTAATTTCAAGCAGAATTATTCAAATTGAGAATTAGTTGGTACAGTTGGTAGATCTATTATAATCGTTTTTTTTTTCAATGCCTGTCTGGAGAATGACCTGGTCATACAGGCATCTGAAGGGCACTCCTTCAGGGGCACCATATTAGGTGGACCAACGTTGCTCCCACAGTAATGTCAGATAGTACAGAGAAGGAAAGAACATCCATGCCCTGGCGGGATTCTACCCCAGAACCTTTCTGGTGCAAGAACAGTTCCCTAACCCCTACACAAGCTGGTCGGCCTATTATAATCGTAAATGTCATTAAAATTACCGAACATCTACAAGAGATTGATGAAAAAAAATTTTCATCGACAAAAAAAAAGGTTATACAAGCGATAGATAATCAGGCAACTACCTTGTCTGTAACCTTGTTGACTCTGTTATAGTGCTAACCAAGGAGTCTCGGCAATGCCACTCGCTTCTGGGTAGCTCATCTTACTAAATTTATCAATTTATCGTCCCCACGAATGTGACCTACTTGGGTTGCTCGCTACTGCTTACCGATGAACTGGCGTGCTTTAGACTGTGAGTGTTTATTTGAGACTAAAGAGTGAGAAATTAGGAAAAAAGGCCACGCCTGTATCACCTCAGGAAGCACGCTGGCATGTAGTTTAATTGCAACAAAATGGTGAATCACATAAGCCTTTGAATTACTTGCAAGCAAAATCCCTATAAATCTAATTTACTGAACCAAGAATCATACATTAAAAAACTGCCACTCGAAAATAATTACAATTTTCAATTCGATTTTCATTTCCCTACCAATATGAAGAGTCTTTTTAGATTTGAGAGCAAAAGTAGGCAGCCATACATAACAGATACAATTAACACGTTGAATGCCACGCTAATTTTACATGGCTAGCCTGTCTGGCCAAGCATTAAATAACTTCAAACTAAATTTGCAAATATTTGATAGATTTTGCTAGTTTTTTATAAGGTTTAACACGACAAATTTATTTAAATTGGTGAATTACATAAGCCTTTGAATTGTTTAGAAATAGTGGTGGATAAAGATCTACTAAATTGAATTTATTAAACCAGGAATCACAATTAATAAACTACCGCTTGAAAAAATTTATTCGCTGTCCGGAGCAAATTGGCATCTCTGTGTTTTATAAATAAAACTATTTTTGTGTGTTCTGTATTGCATTAATCTCCTCAAACCATTTTGGTAACGATAATAATTAAAAATAATTTACAATTTACTCAAATTATGTGTTTCTAATAATCTTGGCTTCGCCAGTCACCGGTGACCCCGTGGCGCTGCGAACAAACTCAGTTCCGGTCACCGGTGACCCCCCATGGCATTCAACATGTTAACATTCTGAACAATCAATTGTTGTCCTCACTCAATATGGAACTAAAGGATTCTAAACAATAAATCACCTTTGAATGTTGAATTCTTGAGTACTACAGCAGCAGGAGGGTGATTGAGATGCGCAGGTACTACAGGATCCTTGTCCCCTACTCCGACCTGCAGGAAATCTAGATGTGATATTGTTGAGCAGCAGAACTGCAGCTCCTGCAAATGAGCAGGCAGCAGTAAAATAAAATCCTGCTTTTGATCCTTGGCTGTTGTTTATGTAGCCTGTAACAGAACAAAGCAAAATTGAAACGGTTCTGAGGCAAATTTTTTTTTATTTGACATATAGTACAATGTATAAACACGACCACAATTATTGATCTCGATTTTTTTTTTTCTTTAGCAGACTTCTTCTTTTCTATTACGAAATTTTTGGTAATATTTATTCAATTAAAAATGAATGAAAAGTTTATTTTTTAAGATTAAAATGCTCTTAATCCTTTGCTTGCCCGTACGCTAATTTACAATCCAGCGGTCTTAAACGACAAGCTTCTTTTTTTTTTTTTTTNTTTTTTTTTTTTTTTTTTTTTTTTTTTTTTTTTTTTTTTTTTTTGGTTGTAGTTGGTCGAAATTATAACGCAAGCTTTTATTTCTTCAAAAATTTTTTACCTGACCTAAAAAAAATTCACGAATTGTTAAATTTTTTTAATTAAGAAAATGTCATATGGAAGAGCTGGTCGTTAAACGCTGCTGCAGTGGAAAATAGCTACCCGCACAGTGTGCAAAAAAATTAAATAAATAAATAAATAAATAAAAATACCGACCCCTCTGAATAACTTTTGATCTAATGATCGGATCTTCACGTTTAAGGACTCAATCTTAATAACTCGAGAGGGTGACCTCAAATATGTTAATTAATATGCGTGCAGACGACATTTTAAGTTACGAAACCAGACACAAAAACGTACTTTCTCTGAATAAACATGCCTCTTTTTTCGACGGATTCTGATTTCTGACCCCAAAATATCGGTATATAGACCCAAAATAAATCAAAATCAATTTAAATAGAAATAAAAAATTTTAGAATTAAAAAAATATTATTTAATTGCAACTTTAAATATAAAAATGAAATACTGTGTGGAATTCGTAATTGTTATCTCATGGCTGCTATGTTACTTCCTTCAGTTGGCACCAACCGGCTTACTCGTGTGCTTTTTTTTTTTTTTTTGCTGAAATTTCTGGCATATTTATGCTAAAATTATTGTCACAGAAATTTGATGTAGTACTTCTAAATTGAATTCGTAAAAACTACATTTGATTGTATAATAATCATAATAACAAATTCATGCAATCACGAATATTTATCAATTCGATCCATCATTCTTCAATTGCTATACAAGAAGCTCTAACGAAACTTTAACCTTATTTGATATTGACGTATGCATATGCACGACAGTGCATGTTATTTTCTATACATAGAATTATGTTTATATTCTACATATAATGTTCTGAAACAGAAGAATTTTAATTACATATTATTACATTTGCGAAATAATGTAAATTATATTTACGTTTCCAACCTTATTTTGTAGTGAAAATGTGGCAACACGTCAAACAGTTCGTAGAACAAAGTTTCGATATTATCACCCTTGTATTACAGGTTTAGCAAAATTCATGTTATTAAAGAATCAATCCTTCTGAATCAGGATTGATCATTCGAACCGACTGCTAATGTCGGAATAGCTTGTTTATGTAATTCACACATAACAAAAGTTGATGATGGCCTGAGGGTAAAAAACCATTCCTTCTGCAGTTCCAAGGCTTAAAAGAATAATGACAGTACACACCTATCCCTCGGTAATAATTGAAGATAATTGTAATTTTCTTCCAATCAATTCTGCCTTTTTCCTTAACTGCTGCAGACGATCTGCCCACTTTTGGGTGTTAGGAAGAAAAAAAATAAGAGCAAAAAGAACTGAACTAGAAATCGTTACCCTTCGCTATCAGTAAAGCCGCGTGAAACAAAAAAGAGCAGACGATAAAAAAAAGTATTGATTATTGGATTAGCAGCATCTGGCATCATGCTGAACAAGTGAGAATGAGACTGCTATGAGAAAGGAATATACAAAACTAAAAATATGTCAGCCATAAATTCAACAGTCGTTTTCTAGTTAAGGAGGCGAAAAATCATTCTGCTATGTTGTGACAAAGAGAAGCAAATATATATTTGGTTAAATACTAACTAATATGGTTTAGAGACTATAAATGCGTGAGTAAAGCATGAGTGTGTTAGAGGTAACGTGTAAGTGTAAAATAATTACTATTTCAAGAAAATTTATTCTAGCATTGTTGTTTAGAACATTTTGGCCTTTCTATGAAATTAAACATTAGTAAATAGTCAATTTAGTATACTTTAGTTGTTATTCTGTTATTTTATTCCATTTTGTTTATTTAATGTTTCTGAATTCCTATTACAAGTTTAGCAAAGAATATATAAAATTTAAATCACACGCTTGCACTATATATTAAGAAAGAAACTTACTATATTAAAAAAGGAACTAAATAAAAAAAAGACATCTTCATTGCCAGAGTAGGAGAATTTCATTTACAAAATATGTTCCTTTTTTAAATATTCCTTGCAACAATTTTATCTTGACCTCAGTTGGGCTCAATACAGGTCTTATAAGAACATCCACCGATTAACCAATATTGGGATGTAAAGATTTTTTAATATTGACCCTAAAATGGCATATACAGGGCCTATATTGGTTGAATAATAAATATGAAATATCCAGTGAATCTGACTATTCTATATTATATACGATCAATATCGATTGTAGAGTAGCTGTAAAATATCAGGTGTTGTATTAACACGTTCACGCCGGATGTTGTGCCTGAAAGCGGGACGGAAAAGAGAAAATACTGGGAGAAGATCTGTTTCAATATTAGATAATATTCGGGAGGAATTATTCTATTCTCAGCAATAACAATTTACTGTGAGGATATTTATCATGGCGAAGAAGCAATTCAGTATAAAAATTGCATCCGTTAAAAACAATTGGTAGTTATGAATTTTCATTATTCCCGGAAAAAAACTAAAAAATGAAATTTATTTGTTACCATTTTTTACTCCGGTGCGCCGCCCGATGAGACAATCTAGCGTTACCCACCGGTGGGTCACCCCAGTGAGAACGTGTTAAAGTATCAAACTATGTAAAGTATCAGGCATCATATTTCACGCTATTTAAAAAGCTTCAGAGACGTATTTCACGAAAAACAAATTTTTCAAGTTCAATAATTTTCAAGTTGTTGAAATCCTTTACTTCTAACTCGGACAAATACACATTATCTGATTTCCAATGAAAATTGTATATTTAAAATGAAAATTGTATATTTAAAATGACATTACTAAGGAATTACGCAGATTTGTTTAACTTTTTATGTAGTTAAGATATAAAGAAATTTATAATAATTTGAGGGATTTCGATTGTCAAATTAGATAGTTTTAAGGAACTTCAATTTTATTAAAAAAATTGGAGCATAAAAGAAAATGCATACATTAAAACTTTTGGTTTTTCGATCCAAACTTAATATTCACTGAGGCTGCTGGTTTTCCCCCTTCCACAGCAAATAAAGCTTCATCTTAGAAAACTTATTCAGGCGACATTTTGCTTTATATTTTTATTATTGGACTTTTTTCAGAATTCAGATTTATTCCACAATCTAGGGGTGAAAAAATCTTAAAATTTACTTATTTTTCAGGCTTTAAATTAGCCTAACCGTTTAATTTTTAATAAATAATCATTTTATTGCCATGTAGTATATCGTCTATATGCATCGTATATGATGTGGAAAATAAAATTAACCCCTTAACGCACAGATTTTTTGAAAAAAACCGACCGAAAAAAATTCTTTTTTTTTTAATGTAAAAAACATACTTTAGAGCATTGTCTTCTCTTTTGGAGGACAATTTTGATACACTGCGCTTTTGTTCCATGGAAAAAGGGTTATATTCAGAGATGCCAACTGCTCCAGACATGCCAAAATAATTAAAATTACGGTAAATAACTACAAAGTAAATTTTGGAAATATTTGACAACTAATGCTTGCTTTTTAAAAGGTATAGCATGACATCTGTTACATAAAGTGGTAAAATATATAAGTCTACGAATTATTTCGAAATAGTGGCAGATTAAAATCTACTAAATTTACTTTATTAAACCAAGAATCACAATTGATAAATTACCACTTTACAATGTATATCTGCCGTCCGGAGCAAATTGGCATCTCTGTATACTATTTTATTCATGAATAAATAAGTGTTATAGCTTACAATCCTATGTAAATGATAAATATCAATAAAACGATTTTTTTTACTTAGCTTTCACATTCTTATTTTCAATTCTCGATTATATTCAAGTGTGAAAAATTATAGCAGCATAAAATACAATGCCGCTCTCGAGTGTACACTGTTTGGCCTGTTTAGCGAGCTTGAATTAACTCGAGGGCACAAATTAAGGGGTTAAAAAATAATTATTCAGAATCTCTTCACGAAAAAAAAGGGTATGAAAGAATTATATAATCTGAACTTCCGTATTTATGTACCTGTCACAGGAATTCCAATAAGAATTGGAATGCTCTGAGCCCATTCTACATAAGCCCAAGCTCTACTGAAACTCTTCGCTCTTATCTTCTCGAAGACCAACATTTTCAGGGAGTAATGTAGTCCTCCGCAAGGCACACCATACATCCAGGAAAATAACACAAAACCATAATAGTCCTGGGCTGTTTGGATCGACAGGAAACTCAAACCAATGGCGATCATGGCGGCCAGGCATAAATACTGTCTGCCAACTATGCAGTCCGCGTTTCTTTTTATGAGTAGAAATCCAAATATACAGCAGCCTACCATGAAAGCGATGCCTAGATGTAAGTGGATGAGAAGTAAGGAATCTATCTCGAGGCCTTCGGACGAGACTAATAGCATCTGAAATGTAATGAAAGTATTTATTAATAATGGATTGCAATTAATTAATAAGTAATTTTATTATTAAAAAATTGTTTAAAATTAAAAGTTTTTTTCGATGAATTTTGTTTTGTGAGAAAATTATGCTTTGAGGCGGTTATCCGCAGTTTCAAACTGAACATAGATAGAGCGTCAACTTTCTGTTTCGTTTGTAAGCTTTTTTACTTCCATTATTATCCTGTTTTGCTTATAGCGTTGTTGTTTCCAACTTTAATGAACGATCTTCAATAGGGTTATGAACATGAAATAATATGAATATGAAATCCGGCATTCCATAGAATGCCTAGGTATTGTATATAATGCCTTAAAAATAGCCGGAAATGTATGAAAGGATTCATATTTCACACATTTCTAGGCATTCTATAGAATGCCAAATAAGAAACTAGCAAAGGATAAAATACATTTGCGATTCATTTCGAGTATCACGTGACTTTTAAGAAGCTCAGTCCAGTGGAAGCGGATTCGCCAAATGTATATGTAAAACAAAATAACAAAATATGAAATGTTTTTGTGTGAAAATGTTTTAAAATGTCATTTAAGTCTACCATGTTTAAACAAGTAGGTTAATTTTAATAAATTTTTTTAATGACAATTTTGTTACCCTTAATGAGAAAAGAATAAATTTTGCTTTGAACAACTTTCATTTTTTTTCATCTGTCACTTTCCTCAACAACTTTCAGTTGTATTTTTGAGAAGTACACATCATTTATACAATAGCCTTATCATGACCTTTTTTTCATACTCTGCCTAACCCTTCAAAAAAAAGTACGGGGTTTTCAAAGTTGTTTTGAGGTTAACAGATGTAAAAAATTACACCTTAATTAGAAAATGAGGTTATCATACCAAAAATAACCTCATTTATAAACATCAATTTCAACATCATTTACATCTCCTAAAATCATCCTCATATATAACTCAGCAATACTTTTAGTTGAGATTGGGTGAAATCTATATTTGTTCACACCTCAAAAATACTTATTCGCTTGAAGTGTAAAAAAAAGTAGTCTGTACACCTCAAAAATAATCTCTTTAAGCTGGTTGCTCTAAAGTAGATTTCCAACCCCATCAAATGTGAATAAAACAATTCATACACCTTGATTACACACCTTGAGAGGTTCATCCTTTAAGGTTGTTTTTAAAGTCAGCTTCAAATAAACCTTAAATAAACCTTGACACTTCAAAAAAGCCTCAAATAAACCTCAAAACGACCTAAAATTTTTGTAAGGGAAGTAGCATTTGTCATTCTATATAATGCCTATTTATTATATACCTGTACAATACCTAAGCATTCTGCATAATGACGGAGTTTCATACTTTGCCAGTAAGATATACATTAATGTTTCCATATGCATGCATAAACCTGTAAATATTAATCGCAGTGCTTAGCCGATAGTTGTTATTTGATAAATGAATAAAATAAACACTTTTTTTAAATAATAACAGGAAGGAACAAGCAGCGTATTATTTGGCAGAAAACATCGTCCACTACTTGATTGATTAACAAGGTCAATCACGAAAAGTGACATTCATTTTTCAAAGGAAAAAACCCACAAACACGAAAAGAAAATCAATTTCTCAGAAAAGAGTCCGGCGATTCTCCTTTTAAGAGAAGATCTTCCAAAGGAAGAATCTTGCCAAAGTAGATTTATGGTCCGCTTTATTTGATTTGGGTCACATTAAGATCCAAAAGAATTACCGAACCTTATTTATCAAAGAGCGAAAAAGTTGCAATTATCATACATTTCACACTTAATACATGTCTATTTTGGTGGCGCTTACACACCTTTCTTTTCTACAAAGCCCAACCCAAGGCTGAGATAAAGCGTTAATTTCTTTGACAGGATATTAAGTTCCTCCAGGCATTTATCGGTGCTTTATATACCCAAGCCGATAAGTTTGTCATATTCATGTCCTAACTAATCGGCAGTAAAGATGATTGCAGGTTTTGTGCCTGAATGTAAAAAACGAATAATGCAGTTCGTTATCATCATCGAATTCGCTTTCAAAGATTAGTTATTACACGCCTCGACATTTTAAGTAGAAACTTCTTATAAATATTTTAATTTCCAAAGTATTACCTGAAACTTAATCATATATGATGGATTTTGATGTTCCATTAAAGTTAAGAAACGATTTCTGAACTTTGCCGAAGAAAAAATCAAAAATTTTAGCGCAAAAGAAATATATATGCTGATTTGTGTATATTAACTAACGAGAAATCTGATGTTTATGTAAATTGAACATGTTCCTTCCAACTTGACTTATGGGAAATTACGAGTTTAAGTTCTTATAAATGACGGATTAAATACGATAACAAAAATATAAGCTTTTTAAAACAGATATTAGTTAAATGACTAAAAAATGATTCCGACTTAATATTGAATTTTTTTTAAAAATGATAACTGAGCTAGTTTTTAAGCTTTGTACTCTTGATATCTTCGGATTTCAAAAATTCAATGTTTTACTATCCCAGGACAAATAATAATCTTCAAATAATCTTAAAAACAATTTTGTTTTTATATTAACAAAAACAAATCGATGAGTATTACGAATCATTTCAGATTTATTAAGATCAGCTACAGCTGAGTAGAAAATTTATTTGTGAAAATGAAAACTATTTGGGATATTATTTTTTAATACTATAAGAAGTACTTCAACCCTGCATTGCTTGCCCGCACAGAAATACGCAAAAGCCAAGAATTATGTATCGGTTTTAATGACACATGAATTTTTAACCATTCGTAGGGTAGAAAAATGTGAACCAAATTTATGTTAGGAAGAGCTATAAGAATTGCAATCATCTTATGCACCCCAAAACTTAGGTGATCCTTGATTTTGTGATTAACTTAGTTAAAAGTTCATAACTTTAAATCAAAAAACTCCTTAGTGTATCTACAAATTATCACAATTTTGGTGATTTGTATTTTTAGAAAGATTTCGTACTTCTACGTTGCATTCCGCACGCTCTCCGGTACGTTATAGTTGAAATAATTGCGCATGCGCACTTAAAGTGCTCATGCGTCAATTCTGATGAAATTCGCATACCGTCGTGAAAATATCCAACATACGTCAATGAAAATGTAGGCCATTTTGTAAAAACCCTTAAGTTATAATCGCTAGGTAGTGGAATATTATCTTAACTTTCGATCACAAAATCAAAACAAACATTTACAATGGAAGTGGATATTATGGAAGTTAAACTTCTTCCAACTAAATTGAATAAATGGAAAAAATGTATTCCATAATTTCAAATATAAAAACAATATTAAGTTTTTTATGGACCAAGTGCAATTAGAGAACCACAATTCTAAACTGAAACCAATTAAATTTATTTTATATCAAGTACTTTTATTATTAAATACTAATACTATTAATTGTAAAATCCCACGATTCATTTTAGCATTTTATAATAACGGATCTTCCATCTTCATTTGGTGTTAGCGTTCTTCTTAACACATCATTTAATTTATTTTATTTTATTTTATAAGCATCGTTGAACAACAGACCTAATTTTGATTTTACGACTACCAATGCTTGATTCCGTAGCTTTGTAATTTTGAACCCAATCCAGAAGACAAGGTAACTCCAGAATCAAATAGTGACAGTAAGTTTGCCTTCGTGGGAGATTTTTTTGATTGAACTAACCACATTTGCGTTACATATGGAGAGGAAAACCACGAAAACCTCCCACGGTTAGTCTGATGGCAATGGGACTCTAACCTATGATTCGTCTACTACTGAGGATGTTTTACGTCAACGCTGGTCGGTGTGAGCTGGTTGTGGAATTTGTATCGACCAGCCATCGCTAGGATTTGAATCCGGTTGAGATGAACGCTGTATCCCCTGAACCACCACGACTCTAGTAACATATTATTAATGTTAATTTAGACTTAATCAAGTTTAAAGAGAAAACAACATTCAACAGCTATGCAGAGCGTGCTTGTGGCTTTCAATAAAAAGTTTATAAGAAAAAGACGCCAACAAAGCGTAAAATTACATAAAATCTTAAACTAAAAAAATAAAATAAATAAATAATAAATAATAATAAAGCAAACATGCGCTGTAACCTCCAATTTTACGTATGGGGGCGTGTGGAATCTAATGCAAATTTCCAAAATATCTCTATTATTAACAGACATTTTCTATCCCATCCCTCTTAAAAGGGTTAAAAACTATTAATGCTGGATTACTAGCTTGAAAAACCTTGCAAAATTTTGTTTTATTCTTCTTTTTAATTCTTCTTAGCTATTCTTAACAATGTATATATTTTAAAATTAAAATTTTACTACAAATTTAAACTGTAGTTTTTTAATGAATAGATCAAGATCAAGAATAGAATAGATCAAGATCATGAATATTTAAGATAAAATTTATATAAAATAAGCATAATATAAAATTAAATGCGAAAAAATAAAAAATTAAAAAAAAATCGAAAAACATCTTTAATGGTATTTATCCTACACGACGATTTTAATATGTTTCAATTTGGTATGAATAAGTACATAGCCGCTTTCAAGCAATTAATACATAATTAACAATTATTTCGAAATATTCTATTACCCGTATCATGTTTCACACAAAATTTATATTTTGTTATATTAATACTACCACACCACGTATTAGATCACAAAACAAAATTTGCAATTCATGTCTAGCAATTCAATACTAAAACAGCATCACTTTTGGCACAAAAATGCTTTGTAAATCACGTTTCAGCAATTATTGGCGATCATAAGAAACAAAAAATCACGTCTTATGAACAATAAAATTTAAATACTCTTTAATAAATACCCCTAATTTCGCCCTCTTATGAACAGTCCTACCTGAAGGCATCAAACGTTTATATACAAGTTCCCTATAATTCGCAGTTATTATGCCCGCCTTGGATAAACGTGACTGCCATACAGCATTGCATTTATACCATCCACAATAATCAGTCCCACACATAGTTTCAAACGGGT